CTAGTGTAAGTAGATTATAATAAATTATTAATATAAATGTTGCTATTATTAATTTTTGTTTTATTCAGATTATCAATAACGATCATTCTTTAGAAGTTACTAGAACTCCAAGTCCAGAAAATCGTACAAGGTCGATTACTGATTCTGGTACAACTTCTGTCTCCCGCACTCCATTAACTACTCTTCAACAACCAAATGCCAATGAAGTTCAAGACATCATCAGTTTGGATTCTACCAATGAAGCATTAGAGACACCAAGTAAAAAGCTTCAAAATTCTGGTCGCAGTCGCATGTTACGTTCCAAGTATGTTAATATACTGTAATGGTTATGGATATTCAAAAGACTAATTATTTTATTATAATATCGATTACTTTAATTTACATCATTATTATTTAATAGAATTCATACTAAAACCCGAAGCAACAATCCTGTTAAGAAAGCTACAGAAGCTAAAACCTGAAGTAATGATCTTGTTAACAAAACTACGGAAGCTGCAAACATTAAAAATAATGCTAAAAAGCGACCTTCAAAAGTATCTAACAATGCCAAGACCAAAGGTATAATATAATCGTATATATAATATTTGAAGTATATTGTAAAAATTGAAATTTAATTTTTTATTCAGGAAAATAACTGTATAGTAATATATGTAGTACACATATGTGATATTAAAATTAATCAAATTAGTAATTCATTTGCATGTATTTAATAATTGGCAAAAAATGAATAAAATAATGATAATGTAAGCAAAATATTGTGACAACAATAGAATATTTATTGAATACATTTTATATAAATTTATAATAGATAATGCATATTTATAACTCAATTATTTATTAAAAATTAAATAATATCTATCGTAATATATAATAATTTTGTACAAAAATCATATAAATTATTGTTCAAAAAATTGTTCAAGAAATCGACTCCATTTTGAACATTTTTTTGAATAAAAACTGAACAAATACTTAATAGAAACTTAACAAAAAACTGAAAATATAATCAAACGATTCTAGAACAATTTTAGAATATTTATTTGACAAACTTTTTTTATAGGGTTTTAATCTAAATTAATAGGCTGAATTTTATGTAGCCAAAATCTTTAATTTCTGAGGCTTTCTTGAAAAGCATTTTGCTTGTTCAAATGATTCCAAGCTCTTTAATTAACTTTGATCATAAGGCATCATAATTATAAAATTATCGAGTTTATAACTGTAATAATCCGTTATCTATTTTAAAAATTGAAAATTAGTGTGATTAATGATAGACTTTCAAAACCCGAATTTCAATTAATAAACATCGGCTAAAAATGAAAATATCAATAAAATTATTTATCTTTATGTCTGAGATTGCTATTAATATGAAATTAGAAACGACATTCCTAGAATGGACTCAAGATTTGCATATTTATTGTAGACCTAATTATACGTAACTTTAAAAAAATTATTTGTACATGGTCCACGCTAATTTGTAAACCTTTAGATCTAATACTAAATTGAAGCTTCCAGTTAGAAGAGATGATCTGGCATTGCTTATTTGTGCCCATAATACAAACCCTAAATTTATAATTTGTTTATTTGCAAATTAAATTTTCTTTTTTGAGTTGTATTACCAGCGCAAATAAGTAAACCCGAGATGATCATATATGTATACATTATTCGGCAAAAATTTTTGGATAACGGTAATTTGGTTCAACCGGGTGAATGTTCACGTGCCGCAAAGCGCCATGAGTCAGCCAGTCATTTGCCCGATTGAATAATGGTGTTATCCGGCAATTTATGGTCATGATTGGTAGTGTGTCTCGTCGGTTGAGTTTTAATTCGAGTAACCGTGAATATTTCGTAACACATGAAAAAATAACAGACAGAAATAAATTCATGATCATAAGAGTTTGTCGGATAAAACTTGTTTACTTACAAATTAAAATTTTCTTTTTTGAGTTGTATTACCAGCACAATAAGTAACTTCCAGGTGCCTGAAGTAGAGTTAGCATCTCAATTCGGATTGATAAATAAACCCGGATCCAATTTTTAGATAATACCTATCCGGACATAATTATAATCCGGATATAAATTTTTTATCCGGCAGCTTATTATGATTTGTCTGCCAAATAAATTTATTATTCGGCAGAAACTGTATAGTTGCCGAATAATAAAATTGTTATTGGGCAGACTATCGTCATAAGTTACCGGATAAATCCGTTATCAGTCATGCAGATGCCTTATAACTTAATTATTTGGTCAAAAATTTAAGATCAGCCTATGAAGTTGAATTCCTTCGGAATTCAATTTCTTAGTCTGATTTGCAGTGCCTGCCTGATAACTATTAAAAATCCAGAATCCTGATATAAATATAAATCCGGATATAAATTTACAGCTGTTCCCATCAATTCTCAGACAACGATAAAAATTGGCCGATGTCATTCGGCCAAATTCAATAAGTTTTTGAATTCTGTGTTATCGGAATCATTGTAATGCTGTCACGACCAGTGGGAGAGGTTTTATATCGTTTGAGCCAATTTAGCTTAGGGGCGTAAGCATTAAAAAGAAAGAACCAAATATTTATTAATACACACAAGGCACCAAAATGTACAAATATTCCAAGCGACACAAGTAAGTATCTTTCTACCCAGTGTACCCGGTACACTATAGTCCTTCCAAATATCCCTTGTTCCAACTCAAAGACTCAACAAAAATCCCTTAGACTAATTAACTAGCTAACCTCTCTTTCTTATACCCCCTTTCCTTATGACTATTTAATAATTTCATAATTCATGCACTGGTTTTAATTACTACATTGTTACATTTCTTTGCATAACGTATTATTTAATGACTCCATAATTCATGCGCTTGTACTAATTACTACTGTAACGAATTTAATTTTATAATCTTACCCTTTTTTTTGGTGTAATTGATTATTTAACTAAATTAGTATCGTGATTGTTAAAGCCCTCGAAGGAGGCAGTGTGCATATTGACATGAGGCTAACACGATAGTGTGGTGCAACTGATGTCATAAAGTAGGTTCTCTTTCATATTAATCGAAATGTATAAAAGTGAAGCATTAATTATAATAAACGGAAGAACCTATTTCTCATAATAAAGTAACCTGGACATAATGATAATATTTCCTTAATTACACACCATCATTAAGTCAACCTAATAGAATTACCATGCCCTATGGAAGCCTTTTATTATTCAATCCACATAACTTCTAGTAGCAGTTGGATCTACACTGCGCATTCATTGTGCGTAGAGATGGGCAAATTGCGGGTTTTCCAAAAATCCCACGCGGGATTCATTTGTCACTCGACTCCACATAACAATGCTACGAAAACACTATATGGGATCCTGTCTTGCTGCTCACGTGGTCCACAGCCGGTTCCTAGCATCGTAATTGCTTACGGCAATGATACTGGCTGCCCATCTGGGCTA